GTGTTTTTTCAATGTATGCTTCAGACACGGGTCACGACGAGGCGTTCCCCATAGCGACCCCTAGAGGACGCAGTGTCTCGTTCCCTACTCAGGGAACCATGGTTACATAAGTAACCTGAGACGTTTTACCTCCAAAAGCGGCACATATTGGCAAAAAATTAATTTGCATGTTCATTCAGACCAACGTGAAAAGACCAACAAGTGGGCAAACAAAATGCTAATGTTTCACGTTGATGTCAACATGAAACGGCTTGGGATTCGTTTTAAAAACGACTCGTTTCAATGATTCAGAGTCGACTCTTTCTTTTGAGAGACAATAACTTTATACCCGGTGCACTTTCAGATTTAAAACGTGGCAGGATGTTTTCATTCACGTAGAGCTGTGTTACACACTGCATGAAAGGTAATTTTCAAAAATCCATAATAGGGGCACTTTAAATGTGTTCGGAAAAGATCAGTCCTTCATCCCATCATAAATGGCCAATATTTTAGTCTCACCGCTAGATCATGTCGATGCGATTCTCTCGCTTGCTTTTGAAATGGATCAGTTTGCCAGATTCAACCCATTGGTTTTGGAATCAAAGCTACATGACTAGAAGCAGCAAAGCTCCAGGTAGCTCAGTTTTATGTGATGAATATCTCAAGGAATCGAGTCCAGAACATCCTCTGTGGTACTTTCAGATCATGTGATCTACAGTATTTCTTTAGTGCCCATCAATCTGAGCTTTAGTGCCTTTGATTATGATCTGTTTGGAACATACGGAACACAGATGCACTGGCCACATACAAGCTGAATAGACCTTTTTTTTTTCCTGTTTCCTAGGACAAAATACAGTACGGTAGCATTGGCATATGCCATATGCAGTGTCTGAATACCTCTTAAAAACGATTGTAAGAGAAGAAAAAAGGTTTACAGTTTAGTTATTGCTAGTGTTGTATCAATGCCAGCCTTACTTTTTTGTTAAATGATGCTTTGTAGTGCCAACACTGGTGAATTGAAAATGAGTTGCAGTTTATTGTTGAGAATTGAATTATTTTTGTTGTCCTGGCCTTTACGTTGCATGCATTTCTAGTCCTATTTTATTACAGTATACGTTAAAGAAGAGTATTTGATGTTCTATTGACGAACGATAAATAAAGTGCGCAGTCTTGTAACTTTACTGACTTTCTCTGGCTCTACAAGAAAAATCTCGTTATGAAAAGTAGCAAATTTACATTTCTTTGAGGTACAAAACACATTCAGATTTCACCCATTACTGTATTTGTAAACGATAAGGTCTTTTTATTTTGTGCATGACAGTTCAAATGTTTAGAGCCGGTCTCTTATGCTCACAAAGGCTGCATGTATTTGATCAAAAAATAGTAAAGCAGTAATATTGTAAAACATTTTTACAATTTAAAGTAACTTTTCCTATTTTTATTCCTGTGATGACAAAGATGCAGTCTTCAGTGTCACATGATCCTTCAGAAAGCGTTCTAATATGCTGATTTGCTGCTCAAGAAATATTTCTTATCTATGATGAAAACAGATGTGCTGTTTAATATTTTTTTCTGAAAAATCAAGACTTTTTTTTCCAGAATTATTTAAACAGGTTCAAAAGAACAGCATTTATTTGAAATATGAATAGTCTTTACTGTCACTTTTGATCAATGAATATATATATATTTTATAAATGTCTTTAAAATAATCTTACTCACCCCACACTTCCAAACAATAGTGTATCTAAGTAAACATTATAAAAACATTTATTTCACCAGAATAAAAAAGGTAGATTCTGCATAAAGAAAAAAAGTGTCCAATTAGGATTACTTTTTATTTACATAAATATTTGTTTACTGTGTTAGTCAAACAAAAGTGCAAGTCACAATGCGAAAATTACTCAAGGTCCTAAAATAGGCTTTTAATGTCCTAATTATTATTATCATTATTTTTATCTTCTTCAGGTAAAATACGACCTGAACTTTTTTTTTTTTATATCAATTACCTGAATCAAACAATAAATGACACTAGTAAACAACTCAATGAATTTAATTTTTACTGCCATAAACAACAACATACAAACAATTCTACAGAATCATCCTCAACCTTTCAACGGCAAGATTCTCACATTTTAGCAAACTCAAACCTTGCCTCTAAAACAATCATAAACGGTTCCAAGTAAACAGTGCAAATACACACCAACTGCCTCAACAAGGCCTCCAGAGTTTACATGATGCTACTGGAAAAAGACACCTCGTCATAAACATAAAAAAGTACACTTGCTGGTTAATTCCACCTTAGATCAGACAAAGCATGGCACAGGAGTGTCTGAAGAAACATCAATAATTCTTAACTTGCTTGTTTTAAAAAATACAAAATCAATACACAAGACACTTGTGGAGTCACTGATAACCACAGCAACAGATGCTAGAGTTGCAAATGAAATTTTCACAGCAATCTTCTCCTAAATTGCAGCTATGCAAGATTTTTATTAAACAAGCTAGAGGAGTTGATGAATATGAAATCACATTCCGTATTCTGGAATACTGACTCTGAAACGGCATAAAAAAAAAAAAAAAAATTCAAGAGAAAATTTACCTTCTTTTTATTTTAGCAAACAGACAACTACCAATTCTGGCTTTAAAACAACAGCAATTTCCACTGAAACCATGTGCCAGATTTTGAATTTAAGGAATTTTTTTGATCCTTTGCAACTCTAACATCTGTCCATCTCAATGATCCTTCGGTTCTAGGCTGTTTTGAGGCATGCTGGTCTAGCTTGAGAACGTCATGTCCGGGTGAGTTTATCTGGAGGCATGAAGCCCGAGTCTCCCAGCGCTACACACACACATATATATATTATTTTATATAATTATAATTATTTTATAACTATTATATATATTAATCCAAAATGCCGCTGCAAGATTAATCTTTAATGAGCCGAAAAGAACGCATGTTTTTTGCTTTAACAAGCTTTTAGCTGTCAAAATGTCAGTCTTGGGGAGTATTCATATAATATCTAAAATATCAGTTTTTGCTGTAGCATTGAAATAATTCATGTCATCTAAAATGCTGCCATTGTAATCACCTTATTTCTAACAAAACAACTATTGTGATATATATATACTGTAGTTATCTTGAAAAATCAAATTACTCTTATTGCAATATAAATTTTTGGTGATATCGCCGCCCCTAAACACACAAAGCTATCATACAAGTCTCAGAATACAGCACACAAGTCATATGGATTTGCTTTTTTTTTTTTGGAGGGGGGTCATTTTTAGAGCCTGACATTATCCATCCACTTTTACTTTGACTGTAAGGAGGACAAAACACCCAGGAGATTTTGCTAAACTTCTTTTGTGCGGTTTTTTTTTTCAATACCATGCCAGCTTCTATGGCTATATTCATGACAAGAGCAAGGTTGAATGAAACACAATGAAATGCCTGCTACAAGCCATTATGACTCACTTGTATGATCATCCAATCATAACTGAATTAAATTAGGTGAAGAAGAATAGAACAGTTTTAGCTGAAAGGTTTAATCCTAGATCAACTCTTCAGTAGGGCTGTGTATTGGCAAGTATCTGGCGATACGATACATATCACGATTAGGGATGGGTACCGAAACCCGGTATTTAATCGTCCCGGGGCTAAATTATGAAAGACCGGGAATTCCCCTTTCAGGTGACTCTTATGGGGGGATTTTTTTAATTTGAGGGTGGAGCTGGGGTATTTTTTAGACCTATTTTTAAACTACTATCATCTAATCTAAAAATGTTTTGTCACACAGTGTAATTGTGTTTTATAACGTTGTTGATTCATATTTATATTATGAGGAAGATACTTAAAAAGTACTTTGATTTTAAACTCTGAATTTATTTGAACTAAAAAAGACAAGTAAACAGTCAGTAGTAAAATAAGAATAGATAAATGACAAGCAATGACAAATAAATACAATAAGATACAACTGAAATTTATGTGCTTTACGTTTTTCAGGCAGGTATAACAGTAATATTCAGGTACAGAAATACCACAGAAACTGAATAATCTATTCAACTTTAAAATAACACTGATTAGTCTTCTGTGTCCAAATAAACATGAATGGCAGACAGTAGCGGGTTTATTTAGGTTGCTGTCTCTTTAAGACCTCATGCGCGGATCTAACATATACTGTTACACAAGTTTTGTTTCTCAACTGTTTACATTCACTTAATAGCCTATCTTATGTATAAAACACTAAAAATGCCTGCACACTGGTGCATTTACAAATTGATGTTTTATATTCATTTCATTAAATATTTATTTTACATTTCAGAATATAAAGCAATGTTAATTCAGCTCTTAATTTGTCATATATATATATAAAAAAAAAAGTACCGATAAGAATACCGTTAAAGTACCGAATCGATAAGCAGTATCGGTAAGAGTAGTAATACCGTTAAAACCTTAACGATACCCATCCCTAATCACGATACAAGGGTGCGATACGATATGTTGGGATACATTGCAATACTGTAAGCAAGGACAATATATTGGGATATTTCTTATTTTAGGAATAGGATATACTTTTAGGAAAGCTGTCATTAAGAACACCATATGCAAACCTTAGCAAAAAATAAATAAAAATATATTATTTAACCAGAGCACAGTGGGATCTGCATTTGCATTAATCAGTCCCTGTAACATTCAACGTTATTGAACCACTTTTAGTGCAGTACGAGTAAAGGGGGGGAAAGTAAAGTGCTTGCAGGATTCTTTAGTTAAATTAAATATATAAAGCTGTTATAATTAGACCATATTTATTTTTAGACCTTGCTTAAAGGTTCATAGTTTAGGTTTACTATTGTAACATACAATGTCATAACATTTTTAGAGAGAAGACGACTATATTGCGTTTTTGAGAATCGATACAGTATCGCCAAACAAAATAACGCGATACTCACGTGTATCGATGTTTTCTTCAGAATGAGTCTGTACCTGGCAGGTATTTGCTGATGATGTTGACTGTCTCTGTAGCTCTGGTCATGGAGGAGTGGATGAGAACGTCGTACTTCAGTCCGAGCGCCGCTAATCTCTGTCCTGTATACTCAGCCTGTTCACGTCCTGCAGCCAAGACAGAAACCAGCATGTGATCGACTTGGTGGCATAATGTAGCATGTAATGGATTAGTTTGAGCACTTCTATCATTTGATATATGCTGAGGGATCAGTACCTAAAGGAGTCAGTATCCTCTCTTTATCTCCATCCCCCTTGAGGTTGTACTGAGAGTGTCTGATGAGGAAGATGTGGCGTGTGGCTTTGGGTTTGCTGTTCTCCACATCTGGACTTCCACTGTCGCCGGCACTATCCTTTCTCTTCCCGTTCACCAGAGATGAGGGGTCACGTCTGAAAGCGTCAAAAAGTGTTCAAACTAGCTATTCACAAAGTAGGCCCAATGAACTCAGTCCAGTAAATAATGACTGACACATACACTGCATTGAAGGCATACATTTTTATCAGTTAAGAAAATAGCTACAATATGGTTTATAATATTCACTGTTTATGAACAAAAAAAAAACATTTAAAATAGCTGCTACAGTTTTAAAAATCACATTCACGTGTTTTATTAATGTTTGAAGACTATTAACTATATGTTAAAGGTTTGCTGTTTTACCTTTTTTTTTTTTTTTTCATAGTTTCATCATTTTGATGAATTTTACTGAATCTGATTTATACTGAACCCCACCATAAATTGTTCCAGATTTTAAACATTATACAAGGGTCAAGTCTATAACTGAACCTGAAATTGTCAGTGGGCAGACACTTTCAAAAGTGCTTATAAGTAAGCACAGTATGTAAGAAGAAACTATGTCTAAGACTAAACCTTCCTGAGCAAAATAAATAAATAAAAAAGGTCCCTGACACCATTTCAATCACTGCTAAATGTGATGCGGCTAGTTAGTGGTTAAAGACTTGGGATCAAACCTAAAACTGGGTGATCCATTAATTATAACCACCGATCAAAGCATTAAACCTCAGGCTACACTAACTCGCCATAAATGAGTTTCGGACATGGTTGCCATGGCAACACAACGGTTTTCTGAACATGTACGATGGTAGTACCATATTATTCTTAGAGATACCTTAAAATACTATGTAAATATAATAGTAATCAATCAGAAATAAGTCTATATTGCTTACTTGTCCCAATTATAATCCCATCCGTTCGCAGTGGGCCATGCCGGAGGCTGCGCTGCTTGCACGGCAGCCAGAGTCTCTCTTAACCGGCATCGGTCTGCGAAGTAGCCGTGCTTATCTGCCGCGACCGCCGCGCACACCAGCACCGCGGATCCGCCGGCGAAGCCGCACGCAAGACTGATCGCTCTCCGAGACGACATGACTAAAAAGAGAGGAGTCAACGGAAACTAACGTTAACGGCTGCTCTTCAGCGCTATGAAGCGCACTGAGTCACTCTGGTGAGGAAGTGCCGCCGTTTCCTCCTTTCACACAATGACAAGCTGTCACTGGTACCTCGCCGTGACCATTAAAAAAACAAAACAAAAAAAAACAGTTTTTCTTTCTACGCCATGTGTAAGAGAATGTATTTGGACTCAAGAAACTTCCAAAAGCAGTCACGACGAATGTGTGAAAACAGCGACAAAAAACACGTAATTTCTGAAAATAAAAGTCCCCAGCATACAAAGTAACAGTTTACAAGTTATCAGTTTTTTCTTCAAACAAATTAGTTATTAAATATTTGTAAACATTTCCAAATATGCTTAAATATTGATTGTGCTTTATTCAATTACGTATTTGTTTTATACGTATTAATTAACGTATTAATATTCGTTTCAAAACATTGAATTACATTGAATAAAATACAATGAATATTTAAGCATATTTGAAACTGCTAAAAGTGTTTATATGTGGGTGTGTGTGTCACTTTTAGCAGTTTCAAATATGCTTAAATCTATGCTTAAATATTCATTGTATTTATGCAATTAATTCTACACTTTGACATATTTACGTCATATTTATTTTATGATTTATTTTTCTATATTAGGCTATATTATTCTATTTTGCTCCAGACCTGTAGATGGCAGTAAAATGTCAGAAAATGTTGCCCATGAGCAGCGGATTTATGTTTTGATTATGGTGGCGACATGTTTTGCTGTTGTTAATTAAAGTTGTATTTTATTTCGATTGTACGTATCATATATCCACATATCTGTCCCCTGAGTTGTAGTAAAGATGGACACGGACGAGGAGGGAGACAATGACTGGGATCGCAGTTTAGAGTCAGACATGCTGGAGACAGGTGGGTTTATAACTGGACGACTGTGTCAATTTGATATGTTTTTATTATAGCCTCTTAAGACCCGAGAAAAGATTTTTAGGAAAAAAAAGAGTTTTTTTTCATGTCTTTACATTGTTTAGAGCATTAAAAAAAATGATTTATTTTTTTAAAAATTATATTTCGTTCATAAATTATGCTATGTCCTCGGTAGAGGACATCGGGACTCAATTTAAAAAAAAAATAAAAAGACATGAATGAACATGCATAGGCAAAAACAATAGATTTTTTTAAAAACCAATACATTTTTAGTTTTCAGGATTTTTTTTTTTTTCCAGACTTTGTATAAAGATGATTCTCAACTATGTTATAACAGAATTATTTGATATACCATTTTTCTTCATGCAAAATGTCTGTAAAATGGCCATAAACAGGTTTTCTCATTTTTTTTAAATCACCAATACATTTTTAGTTTTCAGGATTTTTTTTTTCTCCAAACTTTGTATAAAGATGATTCTCAACTATGTTATAACAGAATGATTTGATATACCATTTTTCTTTCTGCAAAATGTGTGTAAAATGGCCATAAACGGGTTTTCTCATTATATACAATGTATCTATAAACTAAATCTAATTTGCATATTAATGTGTTTTTGGGGCAATGTGTAATGAAAAAATAAGTGTAATAATGGGAGTAATATTTGACAAGATTTTCATAATAATATATAATATTTCATAGGAATATTGAAATATATTTTCTTTCCCGATTCATTTGTTGTGTCTCCCAAAATGCTAATAAACATGCTTTTAGTCCCGGTGTCCTCATATGAGGACATGTATGAAATCAACATACTGTTTCGTAACAGAAAGTCATATTTTGATTTGAAACCCCATAACATTTTCCCGAGATGTTGATTTATGACCGACAGTTTAAAAATTAGACAGATTTAAATGATACTTACAAAATATTATCATATTTCCATAAGAGTGTCACTAAATTAATATCAGACATATTTGAAGACCAAGGAGAGGGAGTGGTCATGGTGAAATATCCAAACATTTAGTATCTCTGAAAAGCCCTGAATGTACTCTGTACAGGAAATCCAGACATTAAAACTGTGGCATGTATAGTCTCAGAGAAATACACGAAAATATAATGTCCTCATATGAGGTCACAGGGTCTCGGGAGGATAGACAGAATTTCTTCAAGGTCCTCATGTTTGCTTAGTGTAAATGCACAGCCCAGTGTCTCATGACAGCTGCAATTTGAATAGACTGCAACAAGGTTTGGAGCAGCCTCTGTCAGGTAGACAGTATGTACAGTAACTGTGCTTTTGTATCTAATCTTTTCAGAAGGAAGTTCCACTGACAGAGTTACATCCGTATCCCAGTCAGAGAGTGATCCTGCACTTTGACCTGGACTGCTTCTATGCACAAGTTGAGATGATCCGAGATCCAGCCCTTCGGACCAAACCTCTTGGTAAAACACCACAGAATATACACTTTACAGCTTTATTCACCAAGTATAGGTTATACAACAAATACAGTATGTCCTGATGCAGTTTCCGAGACAATACACGCAAAACCACTTTAATGCAAGTTCTACAGTCAATACATGTTTGAAAAAAATGTATCATGATTTCCACAAACATATTAAGCAGCACAACTGTTTTCAACATTGCTAATAATTTAAAATGTTTCCTGAGCAAATCAGCATATTAGAATGATTTCTGAAGGATCATGTGACACTGAAGACTGGAGTAATGATGCTGAAAATTCAGTTTTGTCTCAAAATACATTAAAATGGAATAAAGCCGTTATTTTAAATTGTAACTGTTTCATATTACTGCTTTCACTTTATAAAGGCAGCCTTGATGAGCATGTGAGACTTTTTTTTTTTTCAAAAACAGACCCTAAACTTTTGAACATAACTGTTAAGTTAAATACCAATTAATGAGTTTGTCTGATATCTATTCAGGAGTACAATCCAAAGTTCACTGTTTGGATGAACTGTAAATCAGGTTATCAAACAAGAGCCAACAATACTTGCAATACCATAATGCCAGTGTCAAGAGCAAGCTGGAGGGAGAAAAAAAAAGCTCAGAAGTAAAAGTAACAATAAAATGAAGAAACATTGGTGCTTCAGTTTAGCTACTTCAATTTTTAGCTAGCTCTGAAAGTAAAGCTGAATATTTTAGAAAAATTGTTCTCTAAGATGCTGTTTATGGACTTCTTAGATGCTGTTTGTAAAAGTAAAAGTTTGGGAGCTATTAGATGTTCAATGATTTTGAAAGATATTTCTTATGCTCACCAAGTGTGCATTTATTTGATCAGAAATACAGTTAAAATTGAAATATTATTGCAATTTAAAATAACTGTTTTCTATTTAAATACATGTTACAATGTAGTTTATTGTATTATTAAAGCTGAATTCTCAGCAGCCATTACTGAAGAATCATTTCTCATTATTATCAATGTTAAAAACATTCGTGCAGCTTGTGGAAACCATGAGCAGAAAGGCCAAAAGATAAAAAAAATATATAATTTTTGTAACATTATAACTGTCTTTACATTATAAATGTCTTTTTTGATCAATTTAATGCATCCTTGCTGAAAAAAGCTTGATTTATTTAATTGAAAATACAGTAAAAAAAAAAAATTAATAAATAAAAAATTTACATTTTGAAATAACAGTTTCTATTTTTAAACATCTTAAAGTGCAATTTATTTTTGTAATGTCAAAGCTGAAATTTCAGCAGCCATTACTCCAGTCTTCAGTGTCACATGATATTTCAGGAATTATGCTGATTTGGTGCTTACGAAACAGTTCTTATTATTAACAATGTTTATTTAAAATAGTTTTTTTTTTTTTTTTTTTTTTTGCTGTACTTGAAATAATAAGTATACTGGATATAGCAGAGCAGAAAAAATTGTGGACTGTTTCTTTAATTAGCATACTGGAGCAGGCTAACTCTGAGTACACAAGTTAAGTGTACAGAGAACTGTATTTGCGTTTGCCTGACGTACCACAATGCCGTCACTGGCTCCTGTCGTGAGGTAGATGTTATCAGGATCAGACGGAATACCACCGTCACGACGCTGTATGTAGTTTGCAACATCGTGCCTCACACAATCAATGCCCTGACTGGTTGTGTACGCACCTGAGAGAAGGAACAGAGCAAAGGGAGGTTTGAATATGGAAATAGTTTCCTCACAACCTATAATACAGCCTCAAAACCTCAGAGGCCTTTTGGATAGTGACTATCATCATCACTTTAATCAGTAACATCTTGACTGGAGAACAATGGGTAACATCAGTGGTTTCAGTAGTTAACAATCAGTACAGTTAGAGTTTAGTTTATAATTAAGTGTTTTGGTTAAAATTGACATATAAAAGTTTATGTAAGTCCTGGACACCACTTTTTTTTCTTCTTCTGTGGAACACAAAAAGATGAAATTTTGAAGAACGTGTCAGCTTTTAGTTTTTATCCATATAATTAAAGTCAATGGAGTCCAAAACCAAACTGGACCCCACTGGTTCTTATTGTATGAACAACAATGACACAAAAAAACTGTGAGACATTTTTTCCAAAATAATTTATTTTGTGTTATGCAAAAGAAAGAATGTCAGGGTGAGTAAATGATGACAATTTTTCATTTTTGGGTGACGTACCCCTTTAAGTTTTTCACTTAAATTAACTTAAAATTAACTTTAAATTAAAACTGACCATATTTACTTTCTTGTTAAAGATTTCATAGCCTTGCTGTAAATGATACATCAGTACACAATATTCCAAAGGAAAAAATGTATCAACTTGCTCTGCCTCTAAAACAACTTTTCGGATGGCATCACCAAGGCCTCCAATTTTTCCTTTCCAAAAGAGACCACTTGATAAAAGCAAGACCCTCTCAACATTTTTTTTTCTCAATAAATATCCAGTTTCTCTCATAAATGTATCACATTACAGAAATAAAATAGGTTGTCATTTCATGTTGGCTTTATATAGCCTACATGTACATTTAAACAAAATGATTATCTAAAGCTAGTAATATTTCACATAGTCTTATGGTCGCCGTGATTTTGCCAAGTAAGACATGTTCCTGGATCAACATCTTTTGTTGATCCTGGATCAACATTACTGTCCAAAAATACAGACTTAACCCAATCCCTACCCCTAAACCTAACCTTACCCATAATTTATTCCTAAAATCAGAGGGAAATGATAGCTGATTAACAAGGGTGTGGAAGCACCTAATCCTGATTGTAAGCCTAAAACTGACATTTCCTGAAAAGTTATCTCTCAGTTTTGATTGGTTGATTGGAATGATGTTCCAGGATCAACAAGGATGTTGATCCAGGAACATGTT